ATCTCATAGGAAATTAGCACTACGACATGTTTCACAAAACAGGGCAACGACTGGGTCAATCAATTCAATCACCAGAGAGCAAGTCCAACAAGTAGGCGATACCTTTAACCTAAGCGTTCGAGTCAAGTTGCACATTCCTGGAGCGTTCGAGTTTCGTCGGTTTCCCCTACCTTTATTTCTCACCTAACTGCTGGGATTTACGATTTGGTAATGGGTATGATGGGTAAAAGGGTCTATCATGTCGATATGTCTATCATGACTCAGCCAATGCTTTCGATACCATTCCTCACAAGAGATTACGGGGTGAATTGGAGTCACGGGTAAAGTCGTTTGCATTAACGGTATCTACATCTCTCTAAAAGTCCTGTAACACTCTTCGTGATTAAAATTCTCAGCCTTCACAGCACCAACCTGAAACTTTCACATCATAGGATAGCTTGTCCTCTTATCTGCACAAACTAACGACCACGCCTAAGGTCTGTCATTGTTTCTACAAAATTTGCCTCAGAAGCCATTTGGGTCGGTTTTCCGGAGAACAACGCAGGAAGATCACTCCGTCCCGACACACATTCCTGGCAAGCTTGAATGTCTTCGCGATAACATTTTCTTTGTGTGCCCCTCATGCAATTCATGGATCACATATTCTTTAACTTGATTAGAGATTTTTGGAGGCCGAGTGGGCAATAATAAGATTAAGATGATAAATATCACTTAGCACACAATGGCAATCAAACTCTGCCAATGATAAGACCAGCTTAGAATGCCTCTGGTTGGTGAAATGCTGCGAATGAAAACAGCCGATGACATGTGCCCCTTCATGAAAGTGCATAGAGGAAAGCATAATCTATGCTGAAATTGCTCCCGAACAGAATAGGGAAGCTGTGAGCAGTCAATTGAACATTTTATATGTTGAAAAATTAACATATTTTCATGTCTACACCTGCGTTCGATGAGCAATTTATTGAAGAAGTACGTTAACCCTTTCAGTCCGGGCGGGACTCAGGAGTCCTGCATTTTCTTCGCATATGTAATAGAGTTACACAGGTATGCACGACCTTGAGGCTACGGCAAGATTCTGAGTCCCAGTTTATAGAAGTTCACTTCATATTGTCAAGTTGACAGCGGTCCACAGTAATCTGAAGCTGCTGTATTTCCTCCGACACTTAAAAAATCGTGTCATATTTTGCATTTATTTCAGCTAATACATTTCTTTCCCAGCCAATTTTTTCTATTTTTGCAAGCTACAAGTACAGGAAAACGGTAAAACATACGACGTAAAATAGGGATAAGAGTACTAGCTGAAACAATTAAATATCCTACTTTAATTAATTAATTAATTAATTTAAAAAACCACTGAATACATATTTACTTTACTTAAGGGAAACTTTTTAAAAGCACTATTATTTTATGAGCCTTGTTGAAGCCCAAAAAGTATATGACATTTTTTCAATGCCTAGAACATAATTCAGAACTGAAAGGGTTAAAGAGGTACACTATATTGCAAAATTATTAGGACAAAGGACAATATGACAACCTATTATCATTCCACGTTCAAACTCCGTCAGCTCCAATCCACGCACCATACTGGCAATCACTAACTGTAACAGATTGAAGATTACCTTTATCAATATATGCTTTGGCATGGACGTCCTTCCGGGGGGGGGGGGGCAAGGGGGAGCTACTGCCGCTCCTTGTGTCTAAGAGCGATTTTTTTTATAGCCTCCTTTATTCTCTGTTAAGTAATAGCCTGAAAGTCTGCCTTTAGAGCTCTCATGCTGCATGATTTTCACGGCTCCCGTTAAAAAAGTCAGTCAGTAAAGAGTAAAAAAGGTCGAGTCGTCTGCATTGGCAGCACCGAAAGCAAACGCGGAGTAAATTGATCGACGAATTCGCGAAAATTGAAAGCTCGTTGCTATCCGCTGTTGCAGTAAATCTAATCGATTTCGTGAGCGTTAAAACGGTTTGCCTGAACCAGAGAACTTCTGCGAAACTGCTTTACGCCTTTTGAACTTTCATTTGAGAGATTCTTCTCCGCCGAGTGCAACCATGGGTGTAGTCTCATCCAATTAAATACCATTCTACTTGCAGCCAAGTTCACAAGACAACGCAGGGAGGATTTCTGGTGCCGATTAAATTTCGCATAATCCTAATATCTGCTTTCTTTTCTCGCGAATTTGGAATTTCACGAGCTGGACCACCCACAATGTTTGAGCATTAACCCATACGGGAAAAGAAATTCACGAGCGATTCAATTTCGCGATTGACTGTGCCTCGTTAAATTCGCGAAATTGAAGTAGGCGATAACATTTCTCACTGAACTGTGGTTTATTTTTCAAGTTGCATAAGCTTCTTCGTCCCCCCCCCCCCTTGCAGTTTTACCAAATGACGTACTGGACTACCGTAATTCCCTCNCCCCCCCCCCCCCCCCCCCCCCTTGCAGTTTTACCAAATGACGTACTGGACTACCGTAATTCCCTCAACCACATGACCTCTGGGAAAATCTGTTATCGGCGGGAGGAGGCTTGCCCCAATACTTTTGGTAATATAGTGTATGTGTATATACAGTGTTTTTCACTTAAGTTAGACAATTTTTCACTTGACTAAGACGCTGATGCGCGGAGTATTCAGAGAGGAGGCGAGGGCGCTGATGCCCCTGGTGACTAGCTACATCTTTCTCTCCTTCGAATATTTAGGCTTTTTCAGTTGAATAAAACTATGTACTGGAAACGATGAACCGCGAGCATAGTCACGTTGTCAACGGGAGACCTTCCTTGCAGTCTATTTAAATAAAAAAAGACTCTAAGTTTTCAATTTCCAGTCGGCTCAACGATGCAGAAACACTGGATCGGACTTCGATGGGCAATCTCAGATCCACGTTAGGTAGGCCTAATCTACCTACGTGAGTTCGAACTTCAGAACCCAGGAACGATGCCCAAAACTTCACCTGTTTTATTGAAATATTATTAAGGAAAACAGTAATGGGTGACACGAAAGCCTAGTTTTTCACTACGACATTGACTTACCATTTCAATATATTGTGTATTTGGGAGGGTTCATACTGATTTTCCTCTCTTCAGCAGGAAATTAATCATCTTCGTTGTCGCCAATGTAATCCGACATCTGCACTTAAGAATGGAACTCCTAGTTTCTGCGTCGATCCGCCATATCACCCTCAACATGCACCGTTGTCGAAGTCAAATGAAAAATGTCTTACTCAAGAGAAAAACACAGTATTAAAGAGGCATGTTACACTGAGTTAGGACGTTGACGACAGACTAATGCGGTTATATTATCTGCTTCCATGATTAAAGCGTAAGAGATGCACTTCGAGAGAGCAAGAGAGCAAAAGAGTTCAGAGGATTCATCCCACGATGTTTGTTATATATTTCATGAATCTCAAAACAATCTTTTTCAATTCGGAGAGCATTAGACGCAAACAGTAAGCAAATGAATCATATGGCGTCAAGGTACAGAGCGCGCATGCGTGTCACGGGCATCTATTTTTAAGACCTCATGGCTGCGGCCTGGGCGTCTCCACGTTAAGTTCGTGTCCAGCTGCTCTTGAATTTCGTTGTTTCTCACCGTTCGTGGGAAGATTTAGTGTTTAGATTGTTTACAATGAAAGAAGGAACCTTCAATTGTATTATTTCGTATCAAGATGATTCTAAACGGTTCCGCAACGTCGAGGCTTAAGACTCTTTCTTTGGAGAGGGATGAAGGCCCAGGTGTACGGTAGACTACTCCTAGGCTAGGCCTGAGCCAATGCTCACAGATCGGAATTGGATATAGCCTGGCCTCATAGGTCAACATATGAAGAGGCTGCCATATTTAAATATAACCCTTCCTATAGTACTTTCAGTGTAGGTCCGTCAAAAGGTGAGTAGAGTGCATTTTCGAATATTTGCGCACAAAAATTGGCTCACACAAGACGGAACTAAGTGAGGTAAACCCCTAAATGCCTAATCCTTGGAGGGAATGGCAAGTGAATTTGTATCGTCTTGAACATGATGCATGCCATTTCACATGCTACAATGTGAAGGGACATCTCCCATGAAAGTGACAGATGTGGAATGATATTGAAGGTGATATGTGTAAATTTACAAAAGACTGTAAGAGCCCAATACTTGTCCTGGGGTCTCAGGGTTGAATTAACTAAATATGTTGTTACCTATACCCATTAATGCGTGCAAAGGTGAGAAAAGACAGCTGGTTTTGCTTAACTGTTAAGGAAAAGTAACCTATACTATTTTTTCAAGATGTTATGACTGCCTATTTTGTCCTTTAAGTACTCCTTTCCCTGGCTTTGAGTCCCTCTCATATTTTGATTTACATACTGGAGTGTAACAGTTCAGCACATAATATTTTGCATAATGAGAATGTTATCCTTACTTTATTAAGATTAGAAGGCTCATTTGTTTCATATAATTTCTTTGTGAATTCCTAAGCAAAAAGAAATCATATTTTATCGGATTATAAAGCAAAATATTAAAAAAATAAAATACTTGCTATGTTATTCCTATTTCTAGCAAAGACATGTTTAAGTCATTGTAAGATTCAGAGGCAATCCAGGTGGCTAAAGCCTACCCCCTTTCTCATCAATCTTGTGGCAGCCCACCATGTCCTAATTCCTAGCCTTCCTCCCCAATGTCCTCTGCTTATCACTAATTAAAACCCACCTTCCTGCCTATTTTAAGGAATTAAATGTAAATTTCACCTTGCAAACCCTGAAATTACAACATAATAGACATTTTAAGCTGGATAAAATAGAAATAGAGATCTCCTAGACATTTAGGCACAAAAAGTAGAATTTTTTAAAAGTATTAAGTCTCCAGGAATCAATTTTTATTAGCAAGTTTCATTTTAGAAACTCATCTAATTATCTTCCAAGTGGTGACACTTGGTGACACTTCCTAAATTTTATTCAATTATTTTTCAGCTCCAAACCTTGTTTGGCACTCTCTTACCCATCATGAAAGCTGAATTTATTATGTTCAGTGTTAGCAAGTTCAGTTGCATTGCTTCACTTTCTCCAGTTCTGTTTGTGCATTCCAAAAATATCATGAATATTATGACATTAAAGAATATGCTGGTATGCCCTCATGATCTTTCATGTCTAGGTCAATCCTCAACTTTGCATATTGAGGCATTTTCACCCCAATAGGCTGAGCGAGCCTGCTTCTCAGCCTCCAGGAACAAGAACAATCACTAGAAAGGAAGAAAGAAGAGTTGGGAGTAGCATAACAGATGGAGGATATTTTCCAATGGTGCAGGGAGGGCAATGCCTTTCAAGTGAGAGTTTGGCTGGATGACACAGAAAATGACCTCAATCAAGGGTAAAGAGACTGAATCAGAGAAAAAAATTAATTATTTATTGATTTCTTTTAAATTTGTCATGAATCATGCATGCTGTAAGGAATTTTCTATTATAGAGATGATCATGGATTCAGTCCCCTACACTGGGCAGCCAGGGAAGGAAGAAGGAATATTGTGGAGATGCTGATTCAAAGAGGAGCACGAATAAATGCTACCAATCGTGGTGATGACACTGCCTTGCACCTTGCTGCTGCACATGGTCATAGAGATATTGTCCATTTGGTAAGGATTCTATCTTTGATTCTTGAAAGGACATAATATCAGACAATGTCCTATTTCAAATTCATCGGTTAAAAAAAAATGAAAGCAATTAAGTAGTATCAGATGAGGTGAACCCATCCATCTTTCTATTTTTACCCAGTTGATACACCTGCAGGGATTATCATGTATCATATGCTGGATCAAAGGAAACAGCTTTCTGACAGAATTGACTTGTCATTGTTGGACTTCAAAATTCTGAGTAATGATAGGACTACATCTGCTCAAACTTTAGGGGGACCTCTCCATTTTTTGTGTTTTTTTTTTTAAGTAGGATATTGCAAAATGCTTTCCTGAGCCATGGCAGAAGAAACCTACAGTGCCAAATTCAAAATGCTGGCAATGAGCACAAAATAATTTTTCAACCATGTGCTCCCCACCGCATGTTGGTTGAAAACCATAATTCATAAGATCACATATTACAACTAAACTGCTAGAATAGATCTGCTGTGACTGTGACTATACACATTGCTACAGTCATAACTGCAATGTTTACTGTTGTAATAAAATTGATCATATTGGTCAGTGGCTAAAAGTCCAAATGGGTGGCAAGGTCATTAGTCTGTCTGCCTACCTAGCAGGAAATCTCTTTTTTTTTTTTTTTTTTTTTTTTTTTTTTTTTTTAGCAGGAAATCTTTTTTTTTTTTTTTTTTTTTTTTTAAAGCAGCATTCACCTTGCAGCTCTTTGTTTCACCAAGTAAGAGTGTGATCAGTGAGGATTCTGCTATTGCAACTCCTGACTTGCTGTTTGGAGGTGGGAGCAGTGCACATGTGCAGCTGAAGTGAAACCAGTCCGTTTAATAGTGCATGTGCACTTGGTCAAGAAGACTTTTTCATGCCTTCACACCTATGTTGCAGTCTGCACGAAGGGTGAAGATGATGTTCTCTTGATTAAGGATCAAGCTATCAAGCTGGATAAGGATAATTCTATGATATAGGTCATCTCAACCCATTGCACACCCTCTTGTGAAAAATTTCTGGCATGTGATAACAATGTTCTATGAATCCAGCTTTCTGTTCCTTGGAATCCCAGTGCAGGTTGGAAAAACAAGCCTATCAGTGCTCACTTGCAGAAGTAGCAGAAATGCCAAGCATTCCATAGCAGTCAATTATCAGAGGCCTCTGCAGGTTATTACATCAGCATATAATGTATACCGGTTACCAACATTGCATGAGCCTTGCTTGTGAATTTGGATATCCCTAATCTATTTTCACAAGTGGAATTGTTGCTTGATGTCTGAGGTCAAGGAGCATTGTTGAGGTTATCCTATTCCAATTCTAATGTTTTGACATCTACCCCATACTAATAGGTCTAATTTCTATGAAGTGATACCATTCATCAAAAGTGGTGATACATTGATTTTGCAATTTCTATTGCAGCTTTTAAGGAACAAGGCAGACATCAACTTCATCAATGAGCATGGAAACGCTCCTCTTCACTATGCATGTTTCTGGTCATATAATGCCATTGCAGAAGACCTTGTCAATGAGGGAGCCCTTGTTTCCATATCCAACAAGTATGGAGAAACCCCTCTTGACAAGTGCAAGGGGGCCATGGCAAAACATCTTCATGGTAATATCTCATTGTGATTCAATTATTCTCTTTTATAATTTTGGATTGACTATGCACAATCCTTCGTGGTTTCATGACACTGCAATTGCATCTCCTCTCACTGACATGAATACCAGCAAGCATGGCTTAGAGTCAAAATTTCTGATTACACTTCTTCAAAATGTATTTCTTTCCTCTCATGAGTAATAGTGTAGCAACCTGTCTACAACAAATGGTAGCCATCTTATGAAATGAGTTTATTTTGCATTTTCTGCCAAAAGGACAGAGAATCATGACTCTCATATAAACAAATTCCAGAGTCAATCTGATATTACTGTAAAATTGCATGTTTGTTTTCCCTGACCTTCTCATTTATGAATCTTTCTCTTAGATTTGGCTGTGGAGAATGGACAAGATTTGAAAAAAGTTGGCTTCAAGGACCAGAGTTGGTTGGGTCTCAAGACTCGAAGTCGTAAGTAGTCCATCTTGCAGAGAACTGCCTGAGTTGTGCCATCATTAGTTTTTCAGATCTAATTATGGTTACAAATCTGGCCAAATTCTGCCACATTTGTTTCAATTTCATCAATGTTCAATGCTTCTACATTCTTTCATCAATTGATGTTCTGTGGCAGTTTGGCAAGATTACTTTTAATATATTTTCAACATTCAGTTTCAGTCACCAATGGGGACTCTAATATTTCTGATGAGTTGTCATATCCAAAGGAGATATGACTACAGCCAATTTTTTTTTTGTCATGCATTCATGGCATGGAGAGCTTGACATCTTTGCACACAGGACATTGTCTACTTATGATCTGTCTTTTGCATCATCAGGATTCCTCATGAAAAATTTACTGGAAAGTAGATTCCTTCCATCCTTCCTTGAATGACTTTGTTTATATCATCAGTCTTGGGACATGCCAAAAGAACATCCACAATTGTTAGGGGTAATGGAAAACAATGGTGCTTGTTATATCTCAAATTTTCTATAACTAGCTTTTCTGCAGAATTGGCTTTCATTCCAGTTATTTGCCCCCCAGTTCTGAGTTCAAGGATTGAAGGAGAAGCTCACTTAATTCTAGTACACAGGGTTCTATCATTGGAGTATGCCTGCAAAAATCAACAGAAAATTATCAGGAGAGTCTGATCTTTATCATTTTCTTAATTTACTGCTCTGTCATGTTAAGTTTGATAATCAACTTGACCACTCTTTTCATGACATCTTAAAGATTTACAACTTTACATTGATCATTGCTGATCAACAATATGTTGACCTCAGTATAGACATGTGGTGTCTGCCATTAGGTGCATACTGCTTACTGCTCAATGTGGCCAGTTCCAAGCTTGTCATCTCATCCATTAAAATAATCAGGAGAGACATGAGAATGTCTGGTTCACTTCTGAAGCCCATGACTGATGCAACCCACTTATCCAGCCAAATTTGACAAGAACTTGAGGAAAATTAGAACTGCCAAAATTGAAACAACTATGGGCAAATTTGATTGTGTGGCTGGAAAGCATAAAGCATGAAGCATAAACATTAATTTATTGACATTTGTATGTTCTGTAGGTGATGCCACTTTATCAAGACATAAGGGGATTGCATACAATGATCTACACCTGGAGGTGAAGATTGGTGGGTCTCCTTCAGGAGATGTTTGGAGAGGGCGTTGGCAAGGCAATGAGATTGTGGCCAAAGTGCTGGCAGTCAGAGAGATAACACCACGGGTGCAGAGAGCATTCAATGAGGAGTTCCCAAAGCTGAGGTGTGTATTCCATGAACTTTAATAGCAATCCAAATCAGCCATCTTGATGAAGTCATTTTCATTGCGCTCCTTTGGGCCACCTTATCCTAACTTAAAATGGTGATCCCAGCAATGTGGGATCACATAATGTTATGCCCTACTGATTTAGTTCTACAAATGGTGATTGGTGATTCACAATTTTTTTAAATAGTCATTAAATTTGAGTAAACTTTCAAAATCTTCCTGACCGCTATAGTTCACATGAGTAGAGATTCTGATGGAGTATGTGGAGTTGGACATATTCTATCAGGCTTTATGCTGCCTCTATAATCAGCACCTGCTTGTTTTCATGTTCAGTATGTCATTTATTGTGATTACATTGGCGCAAAAAAATTTTCTAACATTAAGTAGCTGATAATAGATCGCAGCATTTGGTGACTGGATTTGGTTTTGGTTTTTGAGATTTGATTACATTATCTAGCTGATAACAATAACCAGTGATCGCAATAAGTAGCTTCTACTGTATAAATTCTTCTGTGGTAGGTCATGGTGTATTGTAACTGTCATATGGTATTGCTCACATTGAGAGTAATACTGACAACCTAGGAGAACATGAGTAGGCTTCTACCATGGAGATTTGTACCTCTTATTAGTTGATGTATTGTCTGTCCATCCATGACATAAAAAATGACAAGGACATGCTGCCTCCTCCAATGGATCTCCCTGCAGAATTGTACTCTTAAATCAGAATGAGACAAGGACTATGTGTAATTTGAAATATTCCAAGTCCAATCAATCATAATTATAGGGTGTCCTTAAAGTGCAGGTAACCTTTTTCTAGGTTACATGGGGTCATTGAAATTCATAAGTTTCTGTTGCATAGAGCAATTACTCTCACACTCAAAAATGATACCTGTGACTGCCTGTGATAGCTAGCTTTTGAATGGAAAATGTACACTATTGTGCCTCGTGCTGCCCAATGAAAGAATGAAAGAAATTAAGAAAACTCTGATCACTGAAGTTAGTTACAGAGAATGATGGAGTTCCCATCTAAAATTGGTGAACAAAAGGTAGGGATCAGATTTATGCTAACCATATCAAGTGATCCCAAGAGGTGCTGTGTTGCTTTTTTTTTGGAAAAACAACCAGTGACATTTTAGAGTGTGGGGTGGCCATGATCCATGCTATCATCTGAAAGAATGTGATCTCTTTAGTTTTTTTGTTTTTTTTTGTTTTTTTTACTTAGAAAGAGATACCCTTACAGGTAAATCACCCTTATATAAAGCTTTATACTGGACATACTTTAAGGCAATAAACTACTCAAGGGATATCCTGAATAAGAAGATAAGGTTTGTAATACTTGCAATAGGACACATTAAATGTTCCTCCCACTCCTTTCCCTCTTTTGTAGGATATTTTCTCACCCAAACATCTTGCCAGTGATTGGAGCCTGCACAGAGGCACCACAGCTGTATGTCATCTCCCAGTATATGCCACATGGGTCTCTGTTCAACGTTTTGCATGGAGGACGCACTGGGATTGTCTTAGACATGGGTCAGATCCTCAGGTTTTCCTCTGACATTGCCCGAGGAATGGCCTATCTCCATTCACTTGAAAAACCTATCCCTAGAGTTTTCCTCAACAGCAAGCATGTCATGGTGAGTTTCATGCCTGCTCATTATTGTAGGGATGTATGAAATACATTAAATTAAATACCTCCTTATCTGCAGATTGATGAGGACTTGACAGCAAGGATCCACATGGGAGATGCCAAATTTTCTTTCCAGGAGAAAGGAAAGATATTCAGTCCTCAGTGGGTTGCACCAGAAGGTAAAAAGTCAAAATTTTTAATACACTGTAGATGCTGAACATTGATGGACATAACACATTAGATTGCACTGTCAAGAATGCATGCCTGGCAGTATATTGCCATTCAATGCAGTCATGAAGCCTGGTGGTTAATGCATTAAAGCTAATGATCTCTTGGCTGGCTATTTTTAGCCTTGCAAAAGAAAGCAGAAGACATCAATGTGAAGGCTGCTGACATGTGGAGTTATGCCATTCTCCTTTGGGAACTGGCCACACGTCAAGTCCCTTTTGCTGAATACTCACCCATGGAAGCTGGCATGAAGGTGAGTCTGCCTGGTCTCATAGTGTTAAATAATAGCACATTTTAAAGCTATTTATACAGCACAAGAGAATTTTACCATCAAGAAGTATTTTGCATCACTTCAGCATGGATTTTTCTTCACCCTTTTTTGTATCCTCTAATGTATACTCATTCTCCAATGAGTTACTTTAAATAAAGGATGTGAAACAGATGTTCTTTCAAAGAGAAAGCTTCTGTTATTGAAGATTTTGGATAAGTTTGTGTTCTGCACCTGTGATAACAGACCTACAATAATCCAGTTCTCTAGTAAATTTTAAATCTGTGTCAAGCAAGATAAGCATGGTTTTGCTGTTATAAATTACTTAGCAGTTTGAAGAACAACACCAATCAAATGTGTTGCATCCTCAGGTTGCCTTGGAGGGTCTGCGTGTGACGATTCACCCTGGGATATCTCAACACATGGCAAAACTCCTCCGCATCTGCATGAATGAGGACCCTGGCAAGAGACCTAATTTTGATATGCTCCTCCCCATTTTAGATAAAATGAAAGCTGTCTGATGTGTCCAACTTTTCTCCCACTTTTCCCTGTCCTCAGGTTCCTTGTAATTCACCTACCCAGATTCATTGCCCCTCATTTTAATCTCTGCATCATCCTCCTTGGCAGACCATGACAGAATTTCATTTTGGATTTTATGAAATGATTATAACAGAATCCCTGGAACAAGTAGCAGAGGCCAACTAAGGAGAGCTCTTGTTTTATGTCTGCAGGCTTTTTGATCTTGTACTCTGTTGCAACTCTTCTTTCACTTCAAGGTACAAACTCATGAAAGATGAAATATGTAATATGCCAAAAGGAATTGTGTCTCCAACTTCCTTGTAAATGTTCACCCTTCATTGTGTGTGATGTTTGAAGTCAGCCATGAAGCTCTTTTATATCATAGTTGAATCTCTGTGATTCAGGTCAATGTTTATACATTTCGGATGACTCTGTGCCTAGATTACTATACTTTAGTACTTCAAAATGTCCGTTATGCAATCTACTGTCTTACTGCTGATGACTATCCTTGAGAATTGCTTTTTTTTGTGTGTGCCATTGTTTTGTTGGTGATGATAATATCCTGAGACAGCTACATTTTGAACACATCTTGCAAACAAGAGGACTTCCCTTGCATGCTTAATAAATAGTTTCCTTGATGAAAGTCAGTTGAAGAAGAATGTGTCATAGATGACAGCTGAGTGTTGAGAGGTGCTCTTTGAGTAGATGCAATGCTGATGATGTGTCTGTTTCCATGTTCCTGCCTCACAAAAATTGCACAAATCATAGTTTATGTCTACTGTCTCACCTTGGTGCTATCAGTGTTCTGAAATTTTTTTCAAAATTTTTACTACCGAAACTGGACTATTGCCACTGTACAGAAATTGATGGAAGAGGGTGAGTGTTTTCTTTACTGCATTTACAAAATGATGCATGTGATTTGTTCATCCTAGATTCCTTGATGGTTGTACTTGTGCCTTATCTGACTGCCCTCCTGCATGTTGTTGATTGGATTTCATTACCTACTATTGATAATCACATTTCATGATTGGAGTTTTTCAAAAAGTCTCAATTGACTTTATTTTTTAGTATTTATTTTAACATATGTTACCAATGAAGTTACTTCCATCTGACTCAACTGAAGCCTTGTGTTTCTTTTATAATATTTTGTATAGCATACTTCAGGCTGCAATCTGGCCAAAATTTCAGGTTCAAAAGAGTGATGCTGTTATTTTAAATCTCAGAAGGTGGAAGAGTTCTTCATGTTCTAATCATTGGTTCCTGATCAAGAAAGAACAAGCCAATGATGATCAAGTTTTGCACTGGAGTGGAACACTGGTGCAAAGCCCTTCTCAAACTTGAAGCACATATCTAGTAATTGAATGGTAACTATTAGGTGCCCATGAACTACATTTGATAAAGTTGCGACCCCACTAGCTCCTCTGCGTTGGAACTCAAGAGATATCTTACCCCCGATATATCATTGTGACAAGAATATTTCTCAACACTGGAGATCCAGATGAGCCTTATCAGTCTAGTCTGTCGTAATCTGAACGACTCAAAGAGCATGTGGAGACTATAACTCCGCATTCCTTTGTATAAACTAGCGCTCATTCATTCCGAAAGGAAACTGCGACGTGACCTCGATGAAAGGAGCTTGCATTTTTACATCGCTTTTGCAAATGAGTGAATTAGGTGTGTTGCAGCATTGACACCTTCCTAAACTGCCAGACAACTACAATGGTCAGAAGCAAAGGGAGAATTCCTGGAAGATCCTATAGTGCTGCACGCGAAGATGACGGAATCTCTTGTGCTTGAAACCATGGCGACGAATAGAATAATGGATCCTGATGGTGATCATCACCGATTGGTGAGGAAGAGCTTCAGCGCCCCCTCGGCCCCTGTACTCACGGAGGAGAAACAGGACTCTCAAAATGATCCGTCTGTGGTACGCTAATCTTGTCATCTTATATGTGGGTTCTGGAGAAGAGCAATTTTGAATACACTCGCGATTACTTAGGTGTAATAAGAAGCATTCGCTCAGATTTTCAGTGCAAAACGAGTCCAGGAAGGAGGTTGAGTATTGAATCATACAGTGCATAAATGTGAGCACAAGGGCCGAAAGAGTTCATGCATTTTCTCATCGGTTAGACTGCACTAATGCTTCATTGCGTGCTGTTTTCATTGAAATATTTTTCGTTGAAGAACTCCCTAGAAATTAATAGGAATTGAACGAAAATAATCCTATACATGCTTCCTGAACATAAGGTAGTTTCACCCATGTTTGCCTGCATATATCGCACACTTCTGCTGCAAATTCTAAAAATTATTTCAGGTCATTAACGCTTTGAGCCCTACAGCCGTCATATGACGTCCTACGCTAGTTTCGCGTTTAAGATGCCATGGCTGAAAGTGTGAAACCGCTCCCCCAAGTTTACTCAGGCAACAAAAATTGGTCCTAACAAATGGTGTGCAGAGCACATGGGGTGTAAGTCCATGAAAACTTTTTCGATTCATTGAAAGGCTAATTAGGCATTTTCTAAAAATATTCAGGCACAATGGAATTTTGAAAGTGTATTATCATCACTTAATTTCGTATAATATTCACGTTTCTTTATTTTAAATAGTTAACGTACACTGCTTCTTAATAATAATAAAAGAAACAAAACCACTTTTGCTTTACATACATACGACACAAGACTTCTGAAATATTGAATCTCTTCGAGATGTAATTATTTACGGGCCATTGCAAGCCTATCGCTGCACAAAATGCACGTAATCCTAAGTGGTACTATATATGTGTAACAACGATGTCGTTGTGGTTGAAAGGACGAAGCGAAGGAGGTCGAAGAAGACCCAAGTTCTGCATCTGACTTCATCATGAAAATCATCAATCCGATCGGCGCTGCAGTGAACATATTCATCATTTGGCGCTTCCCGAACATGGTTCAGAGACACCATGGCGGTATGAGAGGCGGATCCATCATGTTATTTCCCATTAATGAATGTTGCCCTTGAACCACGTCTGCTTCAGACTGTGTTTTCCCATGTTCACAATCGCAGGAATGTTTTTCATTGCATACCTGATCATGATATGTGCTATCGGGGCTCCCGTGATGCACTTGGAGAGATACGTCGGTGTTTATACCAAACTTGGTCCAGCTTCTGTCTGGGGCTTCGCCAAAATATGCAAAGGTGGGTCACTGCTCTTCATCGCAGGTGCTTTCTTGAAGGGATGTCTTGTTGACGACACAAGAGGTTCCGCGATGAGGGGAATCCACGTGCAGGCTAGGATGGGCTGAGACTGAGGCAGGCAGGCGCAGAGCGCGCACGGCGCAAGTCCCTCCTTCCCCGAGTTGTGCGCATGCGCACTGACTCCAGAGGAGCCCTTCTCGTAGTCCTGGCTTGCTGGCACTGAATAGCATAAGGAGCCGACCCTCGCTCAGGAACGGCGCCGTGGCTTAGTTGGTTAAAGCGCCTGTCTAGTAAACAGGAGATCGAGGGTTCGAATCCCTCCGGTGCCTCTTTTTGCAATTTCATTTTATTCATTCCCTTACACTTTCTTCGATCCGTTCTTTTGTCAGGCATTGGTTACGCAGTGGGGTTTTCAGCGGCGGTAATGGCCTTGAACACAGCTACAATAGCATCATGGTTCCTCGTCTATGCGTGGCGCTCCTGCCGTGAGACTCTGCCTTGGTCTGGAGGACTCAACGAATCCGAACTTCCCATTTACCCTCTCGGCCATAAATACAACCTCCCTGAGTATTTCTTTTGGTGCGTATGGAGTCTCGGCGTTATCGACTATAAACAGTGGACAATCGTCGCACGCCCTCGGCATTTACCTTATATCAAATTTTGTTTAGGAACGAGATTGGAGATTCTTTGATGGGGATCGGGGAGAGAGTGACAGTTCCGGATTTCCGTCTCGTCCTGGCTTCTCTCGTCGTTTTCTCCCTGGCCACCATCAGCATCATTCGCAGCTTCCGACATCTTCCCAGGCAGGTACGCTCTACCCCTCGTGAAAGTATTGCAATAAACTTCAGGGAGTTTTCTCAAGATGCTCCTACTAAAATTAAACGAGACGGACGGTACGTTTCTCCATTTCAGACGCACGTCTTCGCCGGGTTGGTTCCGCCGCTGGCACTCATCGTTCTCCTCTCTCTCAGCATCAACAAAGAGGGTGGGAGGAAAGGCCTTCGCTTTTTCTTCAGTTTCGACTTCTCGGAACTCGCCGATTCTGACGTGAGCATCTTCGTGAGTCGGTTTATTAGGTAGTGTCAGTTCACGCTTGTTGACACTTGAGGACTTTGTCGCATTGGAAGAATTCTCGTTATGAAAAGCCGAATTTTTCTTTCGTTTCCATCCTGTACTGGAATTTTAGGAAGAGCTAAATTGGATTAATAAAGCAGCCAATTGACGGAGCGAATCAGAGAGGAATTGGAGTAGAACTTCTCGAGGGAGAATGAGCATTCCCTCTCGGAGTGCGCTATCAGTCGTTGCTCCTTTTGTCTTATCGTTCATGGAATCCGAAGTTTCAAAGTAATTTTATTTTTCATTTTATTTTTATTATTTGTATTTTTTACATCACCATCACTGCAGGCGTCTCGTGTAAGGATAAAGAGTGCGACTCGAATATTGAAAACTCCTTTAGTTGAAGGTCTTTTAAGAATCCATGGTCTCCTAAGGGGAAAAAAAGAGCTCTTGAGCTTAAAGGCTATTTTTATCTCTCCTAAATGAGGTTTCATATCTTTCGGTGGACTTGTATGGATTTCTCAGCATTCAGTGCGAAAATAAAATCCCCGATGCGGTTCATTTCACTATGCATGGGATTAGCTATCGTGATGTCAGTGACGACCGATAACGTGCCGATACAAATGCGCAAAAACCTCTCTCGCAAACCTGGTCGTTGTCAATGAGGAGAATCTCCCTTACGAAGGGAGATTCCCCTCATCTGCCTTTTGGAGAAACCGGCCCGAAGAGTAGGAGCCAAGAACGAGATTCGAATTCCGATCGCCTTTCCGTGTCTCGTGAAAGAGACTCCACGACCGTGGATGAGGCCCACGTGAGGGCAAATAGTTCTGGACTCGAAAATAAAACGTCACGACGAAAATTGTCATGCGAGGACTGCGTGATCCTTCCAGGGCACAGATAAAATTCCAGGTGATTCTCTGAAGTGGCGGAAATTCTACGCGCTATCAAATGTATCTAACTTGGAACTTTTTTTTTTTTTTGCTTTAACCCCTCCTCTCCATGAAAGGCAATGCCGGGTGAAAGAAGGTGAAAAAGCTCTTGTGGGTTCCCAATACTAAGAAAGGTTTGCGGTGATGAGCGCCTGTGCGAGGCCCTCATCTCATCAGTCCAAATTCCAATGATCATCAACATCGCCGATTTCATTCGGAAGAAGTCTCGACAGATTCTAGACCAAGGCTTCCCAGCCCATGTCGCTTGACAGCACAGTCATTTCAAGAAAATAAATTTAAGCTCTTCATTTTTGTTTATTTCTCTTGAAGCTGTGCCTACCTAGTAGCACATAACATCGAATCAACATCGATTCGACGTTGGTTCAACGTCCGGATGTTGAATCAACGTTGAATCGACGTTGTTTCAATGTTATGTGCTACTAGGGCTGTAGTTGCACAGAAACTCAAGATATTGCTCCCCAGCAAACAAGGCTACGTTGGACCAACGTTGTATCGACGTTCCGAACATTTATTCAATATTGATTCAACGTTGATTCAATGTTATGCGTTTCAAATTGTTTGCTGGGTCTATACTCGAAGCGAACCCGATCTCGTCGGGTAACGCTCAGACGGGACCTATCCTTGTTCTTTTTATATTATTCCCAGAATGAGAGAAAATAGACAAACACGCGCGTGTGGGGGGAAAAGCAATGAGAACCTTCATTTCAGCGACGATATTGCTTCGATAGAGACTATTCATTAAGTGGAATTCCTGGAATACACAATGCGAGTCAATTTTGATCCCAAGTTTATTAAGAGCATAGACCGATGCAATATTGGAAAGCGGGGCGTATCGACGATCCCACGAAGTCGTCCTCGACGATCCCGGAAAAGGCTGGGGGGAAATCCCTGGCACCCTTGTCAGTCTCTCGTGGGAACCCTGGGTGCATCTTCGGGCACTGGCGGCCTTCAGGTGGACAATCGTCGCTTTAAAGTCTTGGGGAAATTACAGGAACTCTCACCTTCTTTCACCTGCAAGTTCATCGACTATATCTTAGTTATTTCCATAGTGGAAGAAACGGTGGTGCTTTTAACGACACATGGAATCAGTGGGGGGTTGGGGGAGGAGGAGG